ATTCGGGTGAAGCAAACGTGGTAACATATGCATTGATTTGGAAATCTTTGCATATACCGATGATGATAGTGAAAAGAGTTAGAACTGATTGAGCAATTTTGTGATATGAGTTTGGTGTGTGAAGAAACTTCTTATGGAGTTAAGCTTAGTATGTTGGACCTTACTAGTGGTATTCTTGATGAGATTCAAGAAGGTTAGAACTCTGGTTTGAATTGATAGATTGGTTGAATTTGATGAATTAAATCTGAAGGGGTGATTTTCGGATTAATGAAAATGGTATCATGAGATGTCGTGATAGAGTTTGTGTTCTAGATATTATTGAGTGGAATAAGAGTATTGAGGTAGATGAAGTATCCATCCCGGTGCTATGAAGATGTAACCGGATTTGAAGAAATTATTTTGATGGCCATAGATGAAGAGATAAGTGGTTGAGTTTGTATATGCTGGTTATGCTTGTCGGAAGTCAAAGAATGAACGTCAGAGACCGTTGGGTTTGACGCAACCGTTGAATATTCCAGAGTGGAAATCAGGTAGTATTTCCATGGATTTTGTGTTGGGTTTTCCGAAGAATTGGAGGGATATGATTTTAATTGGGTAATTTTGGATAGATTGACTAGATTGGCTCTTTTCTTATCAATGAGGATTAATCATTCTATGTTGAAGCTAGCTGAGATGTATATCGATGAAATTGTGAAGTTGTATGAGACGTCGTCAAATATTGTGTCAGATAGGAATCTGAGTTTTCATCGAGATTTTGGGAGGGTTTGCAGACGCTTTGAGTACCATGTTGAAGTTGAATTCTGCCTATCATCCGTGGGCGGATGGATGGACAGAGAGAACTATCCAGTCTTTAGAGGATGTGTGGAGAACTGGTGTGTTGGATCAAGGTGGATTGTGGGATAGTCATTGTCGTTGGTTGAGTTTACCTACAATAATATTTATCATTCTAGTATCGGAATGGCACCGTATGAGAATTTGTGTGGTAGGAGGTGTAGGTCTCCTTTGTGTTGATATGATTCACGCGAGAGTGTTGTGCTCGGACCTGAAAAGATCAAGAGGGTTCAAGAAAAGATGGGTTTTGAGAGTACGCCGGTAACTGGTGTTGGTCGAGCTTTGAAGTCTCGGAAGCACACACTGTGTTTTGTTGATTTGTATCAGAAGTGGCGCAGCGGAAGCGTGGGAGAAGTAGCATGTTAGGTTGTTTTACCGTTGTCGCTTGTGAATTTACATAATGTGGCATGTGCCTAAGTTGAGGAAGTGTATTTATTCAGATGGATGGTGTACAAGTGAGAGATAATTTGACTGTTGAGGCATTGCTAGTTCAGGTTGATGAACGAGAAGCAACTTTGAGGTAAAGAGATTCCTTTGGTGAAGGTAGTTTGGGAGGACCAACTGGAGAAAGTTGGAATTGGGAACTTGGAGATCAGTTGAGGGAGTCGTATCCGACTCTGTTCCTTGAGTTAATTTTCGAGGGCAAAAATTCTTTTAAGTGGGGGAGAGTTGTAACACTCTGAATTTAATCAGAATATTTTAATTAATTTATTTAATTGAGAATATTTGTATTTTTGGTGTTTTCGGTGGTTTTGAGAATTATTGGGGTGTTATGCATATTTGGAGTATTTATTTTGGAATAATAGTATGTAATATGGATTTATTAATATTATTGTGAATTAAAATAAATATAAGTGAAATAAGGGTAAATTGGGCATTATGAAGAGTTAGTAAGGGTAAAGAAGGAAAAGCCCAATTTGTGAGGCCCAAGACTGAGTTAGACAAAATTGAGTTCTGAAAGGAAATTGGAATTCATTTGTGTTTAACGTGAAAGTTTGGTGGCCAGAACTCTGAAGGAAAGGCTTGAAGCAGAAGATCCCAAAGATTAATCGTGAAAGTTGCGAATCGACTAAGGTATGGGGAGTATCGTATTTCATGATTTTCTATGTATGCCTTTAGATGTGTTTATGGTTGGTTTATGATTTAAGATATTTTGGGTTGGCTGTGGGAAAATAGGGAATTTGATGATAAGGCTTTGAGGTTATGTGTAATGGTATGTAACACTGAATATTGATATGAGAAAGGGAAACCTTAGGCCTTCGTGGCCAAAACCTTGGATCTTTATATGTTTGACCCTGTAGGAATAGGAATGTTCAATTGTGAGTAACTCTGATGCACTCAGAGTAATTGCAGGAAAATAGTGATTTAGGCAGTGCAAATGTTACTGGATTGGCCTAATAAACCATAGATTTTGTGTTTTTATCACCGTAAAACCTTAGAGATAAGTTAGGGATGTTTTTGGGGCATTGGGGAAGCAAATCGTGTGCACTTTTGGGTTGATTTAGGTTCCGGAGCGTAACAGCATTTTGTTGTCCGTCACGACTGTTCATGTTTTCGGTCGAAATTGTTTTGGACGTAACTTTTGATCCGTAAGGCCGTCTGGACCCCGTTCGAAGCGTTGGAAAGATAATAAACAAGGCTATAACATAGTATAGATAAGGGAATTGGTTTTCCAATATTTTTATATCTAATTATGTTTGAGAATTCAATTGGGTATATGTTCTAGTAATGAATCATGTTCTGGTTCAGTGATGTCTTGATGTTTTGATGCTGCAACTTTCCTGATGAATTACCATAGGGGTAACTATGATAATATGATGAATTAACATGAGTAGGACTGTGAAGTTTATGTGATTGATGGGCGATAGTGTGAGGATTACCGCGAGTATAATTTGATAAATTAATATGAGATAATATGGGGTAGTATTATGAACTAATATGGGATAATATGTGATAATATGACTATGAGCTAATATGTGGTTTGTACGTGATTATATGATGACATGATGTGTGAGATTAATTATTATGATGAATTATGATGATACGATGTTTGATGAATTATGATGATTTATGTGATGATGATGATTATTATGATGAATTATGTAATAACATGAGATATGATAATTTATGTGATGACGATGATTATTATGATGAGTTATGTGAGATACGATGATTTATGTGGTGATGATGATTATTATGATGAGCTATGAAGTATGAAGATGATTATTATAACGAGTTATGATGACGTAATGTACGATGATGACTGTGTTGATGAGCTATGACGTTTGATGATGATGAATATGACGAATATGATGAATATGATGAATATGATGAATGATGATGCACCTATGATGTTATTATGAGGATGATTTGTGATGTGTGCATCATGCATTCATGTGCATCCGAACTTCGGTTCAGGACCTCGATTACTTTGACTTCAATCCCACTGTGCGGATGTGAAGTATTATGATGTGCTCCGGTTCTCTAGTAGAATCGATCCTATTGATGGGGATCTATGGAGGGTTGATGGCCCAGTGTCCATCGCGCTGTGATGATTGGTACCACATGCATTGAGTCTACGTTGCATTTGCATTTATGAGCCTATGTGTATAAATTATGACGTTGCGGCCCTTGAGGCATATTTGAAGGATATCAATGTGTTGAATATAACTATGAGTAATATGTCGTTTATGCATTAATTGTTATACATTGATTATTATGAATTGTCTTACTCACCCTGTCTGTTTGAATGTTACCTCCACGTGGGTAACGTGCAGATGAGCAAGTTTAGCCGTGGACGCCGTCAATGAGTATTTTGAAGTTTTAGAGTCGTTAGTCTTTATGGTTAATTTAGAGGGTCTTGCTCTGATATGTAACATCAGGTTGGGTTCTTAGAGTTGATTTCATATCATTGGGTTATTTTACTGATGTTCCCTGTTGAGGAGAAACCTTGATTTATGCTTTGAGTTCCGCTGTTTTATGTATTTTGATGTACTTTGAGGAAAACTCGTCGTTACGGAGTATTGACCAATTTTGTCGACTTTGAGAAATGTACGCCCTTTTGTGACTTTTTATGAAAGTTAATATTTTACTCTGAAATCCGTGTTATTTTGCCGTAATATCTGTGGGTAGAATAAGGGTGTTACATGTTCCACAGTAGCACATTCATCGGAGGCTTTGTTGTTGAAAAATAAACTAGGGCATTTCTTTTCATTAGAGAAAATGTTGGAAACGGTTCCTCCGTTGATGATGACGAACGTTGATTTAGAAATGCATACATTCTAGAGTGATTTGGAAATTATGAAGAGTTGAGTCTCTTGGTGAAAATTATTGTGAAAAAAGATGTGAGTGTGCAGTTTTATTTATAGAAAAATGAAATAGTACGGACCATATATGCTATGCCATAAATACCCTTACAAAATTTATTATTTCTTTTAATTATATATATTTTTTAAATATTAAAAATAACAAATTTTATTATTATTTTGAATTATATTTTTTTTATCAAAAAATTAAATATTATATAAAAAAAACCCTACAACTGAGATATGATATAATGACTCAGTGTAGGGTAGAATTTCAACTTTTATACCCTTACGCGATATGAAATGACAACTCAGGCCAAGGTGACTTTGACCAGCCATTTCATATGGCGGACTCCTCGTAAAAAGGTAGCCATTTTTTTTTTAAAATTTTTTTATTTGGTATTTTAATTTTAAAAATGGTTATTTTAAATAAAAAATTCCATAAATTCATATATTTTCCACCAAAAACATAAATTCATATATAATAATATTCTATCAAGCTACAATTTTAAATCATTAAAACATTTAAATAGCAAACTTAATCACGTACAACGGAGGTTAACATTAATCTATGTTATGCTTTTAGATGAAACAAATGTTAGTCTGGTGTTGAATTTGGAAGAATTTGAAATTTTCTTTCTTTTTTCTTTTATCCCATCACCAAGTGTGCTGTCAAGTTTGCAGGAGCTTCAGTTTCCATCAAAGAAAGGTACATCCAATCATTCATGAATCGACATGACAAAGAACATTGGATCATAACAAACAAACATATTAGTTTCAGATAAACATCAACAGAGACAGGGCCAACGTGACCTAGTCTAAGCACCAAGTGACCCAACAATGTGAAACTTATTATGATAGCTTTCATCTCACAGCTGCTCTAGCACTCATTGATGTGTGATAATTTGTGCTTCTCTGCTTCCGGTAAGATGTATATACATCATCATACTGACTCACTTCATTCGGATCAGCCGTGGCCCCAAGTCCCAATCTTCCCGAGCCACTTGATCCTGGCTTTCTGTCGACACTCCCATCAGCATAGGTTCCTGTCTCTGGATCAATTTGCTGCAAGTTTGGGGGTGGAGGTATGCAAGCACCTCCCTTTCGAACTTGAGATTCTCTCTCATATTCTCCTTCGTATTCATCATCTTCATCTTTCGCATCAGAATTCATAGGACCCTCAGAAGGATTTACTTCTCCAATTTCTTTAAAAAACTTCGACACCCTTTGAAGAATTTCTGATGCTGGTACAGTTGACGGTGGTATCATAGTTGGGATATCCAAGGGGCTCATAGGAGAATATGGGACACCACTACCAATCTGCATCTTTCTAACCATTCCAGGAATGAGCCCGGGTGGGAACAGCGGATATGGAGGCAATTGTTCGCCAGTGCCAGATGATGGAGGGGGCAATAAATGTGCTCCAGAAGGTTGAACGGAAGACGGTATATTCATAGAACCTGGAAAAGCACTGGGAAGAGCAGAATTTGAAAGAAATTGCTGAGATGCCATTGATTGCCCCAGAAGCTTATCAGGACGGTCTGGATCAAAGACAATTGAACCAGAGCTCACTCTATCAGCCTGCCACTGCTGCACAATATGGTTTGGAGTTTGCAGCATTCCTGCAAATGGGAGGGATAAGAAATTATGAGTTCTATAATTAAATAATTCAAACCTCAAAGAACCAATCTCCCAAGTAAAATGTGAGAACTGATAGTTCAACTAGTTGAATTACTTATCACTACCTCCGGTTCTTGTTATAAGATTTTTAGAGATTTTTCTGGTCCTATTTATAAGAAAATGTCACAACTTTTAAGATGCATCTATTGCTTTAAAGACTTTATTACCCTCCTTTAAAATGTTTGTCTTACAGTATTATTGGATACATTTAATGTCTCGCAACTGTCAATAAGGGTGTATTTGACAAAACCTTCAAAAGGTAACAAGAATTAATGATTTCATTGGGTTTGATGTTTTTTGTTTTTTCTTATAAAAAAGGTCGAGTTCTGCCACTGGAGCAAGAGCTACACCAGAGTACAAAATGATGAAGCAACTGAAAATTAAAACAAACTCTCTAAGGCATTCGAGAATCGAGAGGCCTTTTCTCTCCCACACTTTATGACTTACAATAGAACTGTTCTCCCCTCCTAATGGACTCCTATTTAACTTCTCTTACTGCAACTAACTTCCATTCTCTAACTTCTGTTGCTGCCTTAGTAATAGCTTTACACATACTATTTCTCCTTCTTAAGTCCTTTTATTTTGTCTAGTTTATACTTCCTTAACTAATGGACGGGCGACTAACATAAATTCACACTAATAAAAACCAAGTGCACTAAACTAAGTTGTCTTAAAAACACTTCAGTCAGACAGATGGTATACTCATAAGCAAATGTTACCCTGGTGGCCACTGGGCGACCATGTAATATCACAACAACAAATGATTCCTTGTAAAGAAAAACACCAAAACAGCTTTCATTGTTTTATTATGGACAAATTTACAGCATATGACATAACAGATGTTGCGCCCATGCTGAAAGCTGAAAGAAAGCAAGAGACACTAGAGGAAACATTTTTTCCTAAAGTAAGAGGATCATTTCATTATATATGTGTGTGTGTGTGTGTGTGTGTGTGTGTGTGTTGCTCACACAATGAAATATTTTCAAACCAAGTGCTATTTTGTATTTTGGAAATCATTCAATTATCGCAGAACAAGCAATTCGGTAACTTTTGCATGCCATTACACACAATGTCAAAGAAGAGAAGCTTACCTGCACCTGAATCTGCTGAGGCAGAGGATAAGTCCTTTGATGCTGCAGTAAATGAATTTGTATGTGGCCCACCAATCATCTCCCCCTTCAGTAAAGATATAGTCTCTTGATCAAATACCTCTTTAGAAGCCCAGAACTCTACCATCTGCTGTAATCTTTTCCTATATTCCTCATTGCTTTGTGGGTTATGATAAATTCTTGCAAGCATGGCACCTAAAACAGGTTTGAACGCAAGGGCCTCGTTGTCAAGATCATGAATGCTTGCCCTCCGATTTAAACTGTGAATTAATAGCACAAAGGTCAAGGACATTGAAAAGCAGAAACATTCATGTTAACATCAATGTCAAAAAGAATATCAATAGGCAGGGATGGATTGATCTTGCCAAGCCAAAACTTGCAAAAAGTACAGTTGCAGGAAAAAGTTCTATTTAGGTAATATAAATAGAGAAGTACAACACCAGAAGCAAATTAACCCGTATATAAGGCATACAAATTACAAGCTTTTGAGCTAGAACCAGAACGTAGAAACAAGTAACAAGCATCCCAACAAAATCCACCCCATACATTATCAATGAAAAAGACTTCGCGCTTAGGAGTTAAAATGGAAATAGTCTTTTTTTTTTTTTAAATGAAGCAAATGAGATTCAGAAGAAAAATTCTTTTACTATACGCACTTTTGCAGAAGTGATAGATGGCATTTGCAAGTTGCATTGCAACTCCTACTAGACAACTTTTTATCGCCTTTCTCCTCTCATGAAACCAACCCGCCAATCAGGCAAAAACTATAAGCAGAGATAAATCCATACCAAAAACAGGCTTGCTTTGACAAAACCATAAAAACAAAAAAGACAGTGAAAGAGTAATCCATATACCATCTGCTGATTAGAATTTTAAGAGTATATCATGTGCATCAATCGAACTAGATTATAGATATGAGCAAAATCATAGATGTACACTGAAATGTTAACCAATGCTACCTGTCAAAGAGAATGTCATTTGCCAGGTATATTATATGTAACTGTCTCTCAACGTCGTCCAAGGCAAATACCCTATCTCTAAGAGTCTCTGCTAGAGCTGGTGCAAATGGAGCTCTCTGCATGAACCAAAGTTTGGCACCTTTAATGGATTCTTTTGTACCATTCAAATTGTTCAGAACGCTACTCAGTTCCATTGCTACATCAGATGGAAGCGGCCCAGAGAGCCCTTTGAAAGACTTGGATGACTGATCATACTCGGGTCGACCATGAAGGCCATAAGATTGAGGATGTTGATGATGGTGTTGTTGATCATAGAATTGCGGAAAGGGAGGCGGGACTAACATTGAAGGTGAAGATCCAATTCCAGCAGGATTCAATGGAGGCCCACTAAGAGATGGGCTCGCCATTGGATTAGGCGGAGGATGGATCATTGACATGGAAGACGATGGAAATGGTTGGTTGAATGGACCACTCGGGGGTCTACTTGATAACCAAAGCTTAAAGTGGTAGTAAGCATGACCCTCCCCGCCAAAGAGAAAGCTATAAGAAGGATTATCTCGTTGCTTTTCACAAATCATAGCTTCAAATTCAGGACCATTTTTCACCGCATACTCAACAAGTTTATCAATTCGCTTGTGAAGCTCAGGATCAGAAGGTGGAGCAACTGGGGGTGGAGCAGAATCAAAAAAAGGCGATGGACCAACATGAGGAGGATAATGAGAAGGAAATGCAGGAGGTACTTGATGTTGCTGCTGCTGCTGGAGAAGAAGATGAGGTGGAGGAGGGCCATGGTGGTGCAGCTGTTGCTGCATTGCATGATGAAAAGGGAACTGCTGCATAGAAGGATGCCCAGCACCAGGACCCGGCGGTATAAAAGGCGGACCGTGCATTGCCGAAGGAAACTGCTGATGTTGAGGATGAAATCCAAACTGCTGCTGCTGTTGTTGCATATTAGCAGCAGGTCGCTGCTGCTGAGCATAAGCCATAGCAGACGCAGCTGCGTAATCATGATTCGGACGTTCCATCGGTATATGGCTAGAATAAACCTCAACCAATATCTATGATGAGTATCTAAATGTACCTACAAACAACAAAAAGAAAATAAAATTCTTTCATTTCTTTAATCATACACAAATAATGTCTCTTAAATAATCTATACCTGACTAACATATGAATTTCAGAAACAAAATTAGCCCAATTAATTTCCTCTTGATAAATTTACAGCAATACCTAGCTAGTTAATTGCGGACAATCGCATCACCGTCGCAGTCGTGCGGAGGGGAGTGGCCGCTGGCCGCTACAGTGATGCCAACTGCGGCGCGCAACATTGTCGCGGAGGCATTTCACGAGAACAAAACGGCGCATGTGGCTGCCGTCGCGGAGTTTGGAGTCCGCTACAGTGAAGATTGTTTTAAATATAAAACAAAAATATGGAACGAGAAGCGTGTAAAATCATGGTAGATGTAAAAGGGACTGTGAAGAAGAAATGAAAAATCAGAGAACGAACCTGCGTCGTGCTTGAATTTCAATGGCGGGTGTTAGGTTAAACGAAATGCGTAACTCAAACTTTGCAGGCTCAATGTATTTTAATTTTTTTTTTATGTTTTTCATGTATTATCATTATTATTTTTTTATAATCTTGCTATCAGATCATGTGATTAGGGATGCCAATTTATATTATCCTCCACCCATCTATTTATTTTAATATTTTACAATTATGTCTTATGAGTTTATATTTAAGTATCTATTTTTAAGTATACTTGTTATAAAACATTTTTTTTTATCTTTTCAAGCATATTCATGATGCCTAAATTTACAATTAGTTCTCGTTAGTTTTGATGAAATATAGTTTTTAAACATATTTATGTTGTTGAATTTTGTAGTTGTTTAGGCATACATTTATTTATAAAAAATATTATAATTTATGTTGTTGAGTTTTATAGCATTTTATAGAATTTTATAAAAAATATATTATTATTTTGTATCCAAATAGTAATTTTGATAAAAAAAATAATAAATGTAAATTACTAGGATTTTTTAATAACAAACTAAATATGTGAAATACTCGTGCTTTTTTAATTTTATGAAAAATATAGATATTTAAAAATAAATAAAATAATGGGTTAAATGTATAATTTGTGGAGAGTGGAGATTCGCTAAGAACAGAGATGGAGATAGAAACTCTCCCGTGATAGAGATCGGGAACAGGGATGAGAAATGAATTTGGTGACCGGGACAAAGATGGGGAAGTGTCTTCCGCTCCCGTCCCGCGCCATTGACATCCCTACGTGTGACGACTAATTCAAGAAAATCAATTTTATTGTCCATTAGCAAGGTTCTGTTTAAAGCCAAAACAAAACTATGTATAGACTGACTCAATACAATGATTGATTGCATCTAACCGAATTTAAAATTGAGACCTTGAGAAGAACACACTCATCACTAGACCAAAATTTGGAGATTTATTTATTGCATAGTATAACTAATAAATTCAATTTAGTTCATTTTTAAAAAACATATAAATTAAGTCAGCTAACTTTTTTTATTATAAATAAATAAATTTCGCTGACAAGAACAGTAATCACATGCAGTGGCGCGTACTCATGTGTTCTATATAGGGACCACGTATGATGGCACATGTTTAGTGGACATGCCCCTACATGTGGCGCATGCATGCATCTTCTATGAGCATGTGCTAAGTGTAGTGGCTACTGCATTGGTCTAGTTTTTTTATTTCTAATTATTATAACAATAAAGTAATTTGAAATAAAATAGAAAATTAAAAATAATTTATAATATTTCATAAAATTTAATTACACAACGATTAAATAGAAATCAATTACATGTTTGATCGTACCGCCCCCGATACCACATCCTAGTGCATTGGCCTGAGGTGTTTGAGGTCTCCTAGTATTGGCATGAGGCAAAGATGGTTGGTGCGAAGGTCATAGCATATTTAACAAATTTTCAATCATTTTTCCCTAGTAACGGGGGGATGTTGTAGTCAGCGCTGCCATATTCGAGTTCGGTGTCCATGTTCTCGTAGTTGGATCGCGGTGGTTGGATTACATGCGGATGGGCTGGTTGGTTAATTGGGATATTAAATCATTTTGGAAACGAAACAATGATTCTTATGGTGTTTAAAAGTCATGTGGTGGTTGGGTATTTTGGCAATGTGATGTTTGGGTGCTTTGGTAGTGTAATGTTTAGGTGTACATCGGTGGGGGGTTATGGTGGAATGGGGTGGAATCATATGCATCATTTGGGTTATAGTATGTGGTGGTGGCGTATGATTGTTGGTGGTATAGGTCATGCTCTTGGTTTTCTGTTTGGGTGTGTGGCGTGAATTGGTTGTGAGATTGTGTATTTGATGGCTGAGTGTATATAGTATGGTGATATTGTGAGGTTGGTCGTTGGGTTTGGGTGTGTTGACATTGTTATTAGGTTTGGTGATGGCATGAGGTTGGTTGTTGGGCAGAGGTTTCTTATTGGGCGTATGATAACGAAACTTGTTGGCGTGGGTCGATCAAATACCTCGGATCAGACACAAATTGTATCATTGTAACCAACCTAAACCAATTCATATAATTTTTAGTTAGTCTACCACAATGTATGATGGGTTCTTTAAGATGTGTCAATATCGATTCTTCTATCAATAACACATCTCCATAGTTAACTCTCTCCGATCAGAATAACCCCATTGGGCATTGACACTTTGTTGATGACAGTCTCTCAAACACGTCAGAGGAAAAATACATGATTAGAAGATTTGTAATTTGGTAATATTAAAACCAAATTTAAATTTTAATGAGTTGTTTAGGTGTTATATATTGTCTGATCCGAGGTGGTTTATAAGATTGCGATAGACTACGATAGCGTGTTTGAGACATTTGTTGAAGTTCATCCCCATAATAGACCACCTAAACGGAAAATAGTAAAAATAAACTATTTATAGTTAGTTGTAGTATAAAGTAAGCAAGTCGAGAAAATAAGATAAACTTACTTTATTGCAAAGGAGGATGTGAAGGGTTTCTCGTTGACGCGACGAGTGACAACATTCTCGACCAACCTCATACTTGGAGCAAAAAGGCGCAAGAATAAAACGAACAAGTATCCTTTTGTGCATTTATACCCAATGAACTATATAGATGCGACAAAATATTTGAACCCCAACCATATTTTCCTATTATAGTTATATTTCTTAACAACGGCAAATACATAGTATTTACCGTATTACTAATAGTTTTTGGAAATAAAAATTACTAAATAGTATCATAATATAACACCGAGTTTTAATTATTTTTTCATACTCATTAGAATCTTCGGTTAATATTATACTAGAATAATGTTGTTTAAGATACTTAAGATTAATACCTTGACCACTAGCTTGACCCGTAGTCATGTTGTCACACAAAGGGGCACCCAACAATTATTTGCATATTGCGTTATCTTGGTTAACTCTACCATTAACAGCTTTACCTTAGATAGGTAGACCCAACAACATGTACATGTCCGCTAGTTTGACGATACATTCACCAAGCAAAAGGTGAAATGTGTGTGTCTCAGGTCTTCATCTTTTTACCAAGGCAAAGATAAATTTGTAATCAACATAATACATGACTATATTGAGTAAATGACCAAAACCGCTTACTCGTAAATATGGTTTTATTAATGGATCATGTGGTACATATCCATGTACACGATATCGCAAACTCTTTGGATCCTAACAAAATATAATTAAGGAAATTAATTAAGAAAAAATAAGGAAAAGTATTAGCGAAAAATTTTGTAATACATTCAAAATAGTAACTTACAAACTCCACAATGTTGTTGATAGCTCCTTGATGTGTATCACCCATGGTCAATAGAGTCATATTTTGGAATGCTTTTGAGTTTTTATTATCGATAAAGTGTATAGGTTGAGTATGTTTAATGGGAATTATGAGTAACATTCACGTGAAGCAATTTTGCATGTACCTTTCAACTAATATTCCATATCCAATGGCGCATGGGTTACTTTTTATGAGCATACATCAGTCAAAGTGGCGACTCCTAGGCTCATGCATGTAAGGCTACGTGGCAGGATATTGAGCTAGACTTAGGGTGGCATGCATGCAAATAAATGACAAGCCACAAGGCCAGTGCATATGGTGCATAGGTGAAGAAAATAGTGAATGTGTCATACCCAACGACGCATGGGTTACTTTTTGTAATCCTATTCGAACATTATTTAAGTGCATGCTCATTCGTTTTAGAACCAACTTAAACTATATTCTCATAACCAATATACTAAAATACATTGCATTTCATAAAAATGGCTTATACATCACAATATACGATCAACGCTCACATCAATGGTGAGACATTTGAACGTGACTTATTCAGTTTTAATTTTCATAATGTTGAATCTATTCGGTTTACGATAAACAGACGATCAATTTTTTCACATTTGAAAGAGAGAATAGAAAAGAAGTTGTAGTATGGTGCGGTGGCACAGATCATCTACAAAAATGCAGTTTTTTTATACCGACAATCAAGTCAAGTTTTACCAGTTAAAGGTCTGAGATGATGAGGATGTTTGTACTATGTTTCTCAGTCATGAACATTTTGGGTTCAACAATACTTAGTTATATATTTTACTACAACAAAATCAGTTATCTCAAATTATTTATTTGTTACAAGTTTTTTTCGAAACTGACGACGACGACAAACAAGCTGAAGTCGATGTTGTTGACGAGGAAGAAGTAAAAGAAAAAGAAGAATATGAGATATTATTTGATCAAATGGTGAATAATGACACTGCCAACCACGAGCAAGAGCCATTGCCTTCTGGTCATGTGTATTGTCCACCTCAACACATGACAAACTTTAGCTTAGGTGCAGATGAACCATCGTAGATGTATTTTACATTTTGTATATGCAAACAAACGGATCTTTAAAGGTGGGAGACATATTTTGCACAAAAGAATATTGTGTGAGAGACATTAAAAAGCATCACATGGAAATCTCGACCAATTATATTGTT